GTAATACGTACAGATGTTAAAGTGCAATAAAATAGTACGTACCAAATATAGAAATATAAAATAAATATATAATAAAGAATAAAGCCAAAATTTTAGTTCCTACTTGGCTACATACTAGTAATTTAATAGAAGAGTATAAATATGTTAATAGAGAATTATCGTAAACTGACTTTGATTTCAGATAATTAACTATGATCGATGATCATATAAGCACGAGGCTACAAAGTGAAACTGGCCTTTATTATTAAGTTATTTTTTTTTATGTTTTATTTATTTATTTGTTTTACTTTTTATTATTTTTTTATTTTTCACATTTTATTTATTTATTTATTTCTACTTTTATTTATTTATTTATTAAACTGTTGCAAGCAAATAATCATTATACATAGAAATTAATAATGCGAATGACCACCATCATTATCATATACCACTTTAACACGGTCTACCTCACTTTCAACAAGACGTCTATAATAACTCGGAGCTAATGCCTTCCATTCTTTCTTAACCATCCTCTCGAGCTCATTAAGGTTGCCAGGTCTTGGGCGACGTTTTCAAAGCTTTGCTTCAACCTCAAACCAAAGATTCTCAATGGGATTAAGGTCCGGGCTATATGGAGGCCATTTAAAAGTTTTAATACTTTTATTAGTGAAATACCTTTTAACAATTTTGCCTCTGTGGACTGAGGCTCCGTCATGTTGAAATATCCCATTATCATTGGGATATTGGTCCTGAAGCTTAGGAATGGCGTAACGAATAAGTGTTCTACGATAGGATGCACTTGTAATACTGCCGTGGAGACGGATAAAAGGGCCAAGACCCCACCAAGAAAAACATCCTCACATCATAATCCCTTTAGATTTGATTGCTGGAACAAGGCAATCATCATTAAATTCTTCACCTGGCCTCCTCCATACGTGCTGATATGGATTAGAATGAACTAAAGTAAAATACTTTTCATCCGACTAGAGAACATTTTTCCAGTCTTTATCCGTCTAATTAAGATGCTTTTCTGCCCAATCTTTATACTCTTTTTTAGTCTTATCACTAATAAAAGGCTTTACGCGGGCAACACATGAAACCAGGTTAGCTTTGCGAAGAGTACGACTTATAGTTCTTTGAGAAATTAACTAAATCAAAATTTAAAAAAAAAATCGAACCAAATAAAAAAAAAAAAAAAATTAAAAAAAAATTAAATTTAAAATTATTATTACTTTGCCTTCTTGCTGTTCCAATGCAGCTTGAATTTGTCTTTTAGTCATACGCCGATTGCTTAAGACAAGCTGCGTTAGACGATCTTGTGCCGATTCGTCTAAGATTGGTGGTCTTCCTCGACGATCCGGTAATACTTGAGATGGGTTTTCAAGTCGGTTAAGCACATTTCCAACAGTCTTGGGATCACAACCAACAAGTTTGGCAATTTGTCTATATGACTTGCCTAACTTTCGCACAGAAATAATTTCTCCACACTTTCTTTCTGAAAGTGTCATGATTTAAAGCTATAAGTGCTTTAACGAAATTTCAAATTTCTAACTAACAATTATAATTAATTTATTTAGCTCGGTTCAAAAAAAAAACTTACCAAATAATTACAGCATATTATGCAAGCGGCATTGAGGTGTTCGAAATACTAGCGCTAGTAAATCAAACATTAATCAGTGATGAAAATCTGAATTTACTGCGGATAATATCAACACTTTTCTCTTTATTGCACTTTAACATCTGTATGTACAAT